AGCAGAATCTCTGAGGCCGATGGAGTGTAGTTTTTTGAGGAGGAGGGGTGGTCGACTGTGTCAAAGGCCGCAGGAGAAGGTCAAGGAGTAGGAGCACTGAATAGTGGGCCATTAGCTTTGGCGGTTAGCAGGGTCGTTGGAGAGTTTGAGTAAGGCAGTTTCGGTGAGTGTAGGGGACGGAAGCCGGACTGTAGGGGATCAAGGAGGTTGTTGTCGTTGAGGTGAGAGCATAGGCGGGGGCGTAGACTAGGCGCTCGAGAGGAGTTTTAGATGTAAAATGGGAGCAGGGAGATGGGTCTGAGGTTGTTCGGGTCATTGGGGTCCAGGGAGGGCTTTTTTAAGTATGGGGGTGATGTGTGCATGTTTCAGAGGGGAAGGGAAAGTGGCCGGAGGAGAGGGAGAGATTGAAGATGTGGGTGAGGGAGCGTAGGATGGATGGGGGAGGGAGGTTGTAGGAGTTGTGTGGGGATAGGGTCAAGGGGGCAGGTGGTGATGGCGGGGCATCAGAGAGGATCTTGGAGACTTCTTTGATGGTAGTAAGGTCAAAGGTGCGGAGTGTTGGGGAGCTTCAGTATGAGGAATGTAGGGTGGGGTGGGAGAGGAGGTCAGAGCAGTGGTGGGGCCGTGGGAGAGGGGTGTAGAGGGGGTAGCTGAGTGAGGGGGAAGGGGGTTGAGGGAGTTTGAGCAGCGACGAAGTCCCTGTGGGTTTATGTCGAGGGGGAGGGGGATGGGGGTAGCTGTGTGAGAGGGGACGGGTTTGAGAAGGCGTGTGAGTTGCGGCAATGTCCTTTGCGAATTGTGTCAATCTTGTTTTTGAAGTAATGGCAATCTCAAGGGCAGTAAGTGAGGTGCAGGTGGAGGTGGGGGTGGCGAGAGTAGAGAGGTTGAAAGGTGGAAAGATCGGCGAGGATTGGAGGAGAGGGCCTTGATGAGGGACAGGAAGTAGGCTTGTTTGGCAGTATGGAGGGAGGAGGTGTAGAGTGTGGAAGGCAGATTTTGTATCGGGTGAAGGCTTGTTTGGGATTTGGTTTTTGCGCCATAGTCGCTCTCCAGGGCACGACTGTGTCGTTTGAGGGTTTTGGTGTGATCAGTCTGCCAGGGCTGGAGCGGTCGCGGTCTGATGTTGCGTGTGGTTAAAAGGCGCTAGTGAGTCCAGGGCTGTTGACAGCGCATTGTTGTAGGCGGTCATAGCCAAGTCGGGGCAGAACGGGAGGATGCGGTCATGGAGTTTGATCAACTGCGGAGTGGAGGGAGGCAGGGTTAAGGTTGCGGAGGTTACGGCTGGTAGTAGTGTACATTTGGAAGGGTAGGGCATGCATTGAGAGGATGATGAGGAGATAGAGAAAGTAATCAGGTTGTGGTCAGAGAGAGGGAAGGGGGTGTTAGTGAGGTCTATGTGGGAGCGCAGCGGTTGGAGAAGACGAGATCAAGGATATTACCGTCGGAGTGGGTGGTGGATTGTATGCACTGTGCAAGTGCAAAGGAGGAGGTTAAGTGGAGGAGACGGGCTGTGTCCGGGTTGTCAAGGTTGACAGGGATGTTGAAATCCCCAAGGATGATAGTGGGTAGCTCAGAGGAGGAGGAAGAAGGGTAGCCAGGAAGGAGAAAGTCTTCCAGGAAGCGGGGTATGATCCAGGAGGCAGGCCGGTATATCACAGCAATCTTCAGGGGGGGTTGGGGAGAATAGTCGGGGTTGGTTTCACGCAGTGGGCCTCGAAGGAGGAGAAGGATAGGGAGGGGGGGTTTGGGAGGACTCGGAAGGTGCTACAGCGCGTGACCAGGAGCAGGCCAACCCCACCACCTTTACGACCGTTGGGCCTGGGTGAGTGGGTCCAGGTTAGAGAACCCGCCGTAGGAGAGTGCAGCAGGGGAGGTAAAGTCAGTGGGCTGGATCCAGGTTTCCGTAATCGCCAGGAGGTTGAGGAGCGGGAAACAAAGAGGTCGTGGATGGCGGTAAGCTTGTGTTGCACACCGATCGTGCGTTCAGGAGTGCACATGAAAACGGGGGGGAGAATTTTAGGACAGGGGGACAGATACTAAGTTGCGGGGGTTGCGGCAGGACGTGAGGCGGGAGGGTTTTGTGCGGTGAGGGAGGTGGTGGAGGGAATATGAATGGATCAAAGATTAATGCCAAAATGGCAAAGACTTAGCCAAGAAGGTCTAATTGTTTACAGTACTCCACAGGCAACTTTAGACACCTGTGTGAAGCCAAGAAATAGGCAAGACAGCCCCCGCAAAGTCCCACTGTTGAAAAAAAACGACAAACGCTGAAGAGGTTACAATGTGCCAAAGAAACACATTGATGGCCCCAATGGGAGAAATGGTGCAGTATTTTGTGTAGACTGATGAAAGCAAGATTCAATTTTGGGTGTGGGGGCTGTGCCAGTTTGTCAGAAGATCCCCAAACATGGAATTCAAGGCACAAGTAACACAGTAAAGAGAGTGAAGCAAGGTGACGCAAGCATCATGAATATGGGATGGTTTTCTCATGCTATGGTGGTTTTGGGCCTATTTATCATATACCAGGGGATCATGGATCAGTTTTGAATGCGTCAAAATACTTTGCAGGGCGGCAGTGGAGCGCAAAAGCACGTTTTAAAAATTGCTCCGCCATCTCCCGACACATTCGCGGGTAGGGGGCGCGCGCGCTCCCGCCGACCCGTGGGTGACACGCGATTCGATCCAGGAGGGATCAATCATTAGATTTCAGCCTGTGATATCTGGCTGAAATCACATGAAAAAAAACAAAAAAAATCGGTCCCTGTCCTATCCTGTCCTGTGTTGACATTTACACAGGGCAGGATATGATGTCATTCTTCTCTGCCTGGACACATTCCGTTCCAGACAGAGAAGAAGACACAGTAAACGTGAGTAAAACAGCACACATTTACAGTTAGAACACTCTAGGTCACATTTAACCCACTGATCGTCACCCCCCCCCACCCCCCCCCCCCCCACCCCAGTTAACCCCTTCACTGCCCTGTCTCCAGTGTCACTGATCAGTGAAGCGATTTTTACTGATCACTGTATCAGTGTCGCTGGCGACTTCCGATAGTTTTAGCGCCCCTCCCAGATAGCACCAGTTTGCCCGCTAAATACATCAGTAGTCCCGTTTAAACCCCTTGATCCCCCCCCCCCCCCCAGTTAACCCCTTCACTGCCCTGTCACCAGTGTCACTGATACAGTGAACCAATTTTTACTGATCACTGTATCAGTGTCGCTGGCGACTTTCCGATAGTGTTAGCGCCCCTCCCAGATAGCGCCAGATTGCCCGCTAATACACCAATAATCATTAGATTTCCACTGATTAGATGAACCACTTTTTACTGATCACTGTATCAGTGTCGCCTGGCACTTCCGATAGTGTTAGCGCCCCTCCCAGATAGCGCCAGATTGCCCGCTAATACCCAATAATCCCGTCTAACCCCTTGATCGCGCCCCCCCCCCCCCCCCCCCATTGAGTTGACCCCTTCACTGCCCTGTCACCAGTGTCATTGATCAGTGAACAGATTTTTACTGATCACTGTATCAGTGTCGCTGGCGACTTCTGATAGTGTTAGCGCACCTCCCAGAATAGCGTCAGTTTGCCCGCTAGTGCACCAGCAATCCCATTTAAACCCTTTGATGGCCCCCCCCCCCCCCCCCCAGTTAACCCTTCACTGCCCTGTCACCAGTGTCCTTGATTACAGTGAACAGATTTTTTACTGATCACTGTATTAGTGTCACTGGTGACTTCCGATAGTGGTTAGCGCCCCTCCTAGATAGCGCCAGTTTTGCCCGCTAATGCACGGGATTTTTTTTTTACCAAAAACATGTAAAAGGATGTAAATTTCGTTTGGGTGCAGCATTGCATGACTGCGCAATTATTTGAATTAGTGCAGCGCTGTATAGCAAAAAAAGGCATAAATTGCAGTATCTATAAACCATAGTTGTAGACGCTATAACTTTCACACAAAGCAATCAATATACACTTATTCAGATTTTTTTTTTACCAAAAACATGTAGCAGAATACATTTTGGCTTAAATTTATGACTAACTTTGAGTTTACGATATATTTGTTCTAGCTGAAAGTAGAAAAATATTTGGGTTTTTTTCAAAATTTTCGTGTTTTTTTTTGTTTATAGCGCAAAAAATAAAAAGCGCACAGGTGATCAAATACCACCAAAAGAAAGCTCTATTTGTGTGAAAAAAAGGACGTAAATTTCGTTTGGGTACAGCATTGCATGACCGACCGCGCAATTATCATTTGAATTAGTGCAGCGCCAAACAGCAAAAAAAGGCCTGGCAGGGGAATTGTGGAATGTCGTGCAATCGTCCTGGGCTGGAATACCTGTTCACAGGTGCCAAATGTTAGAGAGCTGCTTCACATCTGTGTTGCATGGAGTCTAACTGTGGTTATACAACTAAATATTGAGTTATTCACAGGAAAGCTAAATCTTTAAGCATTTTTCAGTTTATACAGTAAATGTTTGAGTTTGTAAAGAAAAATGCAGACACTATATTTTTTTTTTTTTTTGTTCAGCCTAATATTCCTTTTTCACTTTCTGTGAGGTAATAACACATTTGAAACACTCTATTTTGAACACAACTGTATTACACTAGTACATTTAATTTGTACATTTTAGTTCATCCATAAAAAGTGTTAGCTCAATTCCAAATTTGTCTCTAGGTCATTTGTTAGTAATGGTTTTTCTTAGTTGCTCAACAAGAGTGTTGGTTAGTGTTCTGACATTTAGATGGCTGCTAGTGAGAATTTTGAAATATATGTATGACTTGTTGCCTAAAAAATGTGAAATTCATATTAAATTACTCAGGTAAACTAATGTTAATTTGATGAATTTCATATATCCTACCAATAGAGGTTATACCCCATCTCCTTGAGAATGTTTCCCAATTTTCACGTACAGTGCTGAGAATGTGTAATCAGTTTTGCATTTTTTTTTTTTTTTTTTGCCCAGCATTTTTTACGTTTTTGTTTTGTGCATCAGGTGTGGTGGAGTATTTGACAAATGGAGGGGTAGCTGACAATCACAAGGACTTTAAGGAGCTACGATACAATGAGTGTCTCTCAAACTTCAGCTGCAATGGAAAGAATGGGACCCCGGATGGACGAATTACTCATGGCTTCCAACTGAGGAGCGCCTATGAAAACAACTTGATGCCTTACACCAATTACACCTTTGATTTCAAGGTATGTCAATTTATATACTGTATTATGATTAAATTTGGTCTGTCTTCAAGGTGGCATTATAAAGAATTAAAAACATTTTTTCTCAGATCTTTAGCAATATTTATCCTTTGCCATACTTTCTGTAATAAAGCTTATGTGGGGGTAACGGTCCCCTTGGGCTGTAGTGGTAGTATTGCAGTTAAACTGCCTGTCACCACAGCTCAAAGTGGAACTAAACTCCCAACTTATTTTATGCATTCCCATCCCTCTTCCACAAAAGCTAATAATTATTTTTTTGTACTGTTTATTTTTGTGATGCTAAGCAGCACTTCTGGGTTTCCAGCCTAGGCTGGGCCCCATTGCTGTGAAATGGCTATCCCAGAAGGCAATGAATTACTAAGGCTTGACTGTATGTATGGTATATGTGCACATGCACCTAAATCCTGCCACTAGTCTAGATATCTGGAAGATGCCAGCAACCTATGTGTACCTTCTTGTGTCATGGCTAATGAGTGCTTACTGAGCCTTGTAAATGAGGTGGTGCAGTCTCCAGACATTAGTATTCCAAGCATGCAAAAAAAAAAAAAAAAAACAACTCTTTCCTGCCACGTGATTTGGTTATTTTTAAAGTGAACACTGCTTCACCTTATTTAAGCTCAGTGGACATTCACTTTAAACTGTCACACCCCCACCCCCCACCCCCCAGCCCCTTTTACACGAATGCTCTGTCTTTCCGGTAGACCTGATTGGAACCTCCATTTCCTATGGACTGGTGGGTGTAAATGGACACCGAACCTGATCCCTAAAACAAACTGATGGGAATCTGTATCGCCCCTTCCTCCCGCCTGGCCTGATCGGTTTGCAGTCCTATGTAAATAGACAAGAGGTTTACATCCAACCACCTATAGAGGAGAGCGGGCTCCATCCATGTACGCTCTGTATAAGCAGAGTGGACACTTGACCTGTCAGCTGCCTGCTCACCAGGGATCAGCAGACCAATCTCCTGCTGAGCCGGCAGATGGCAGGCGGAGTCCACCCCATATGAAAGGGCCTAATATACTTGACAACTTTTATAACATGCATATAGGGATTTTCATTTTATGCTTTTTCAACAGCTAGGGTTTTTGTAGTAACAAAACCCTAAATTTCACTTTTTGCTTGTCTTGAGCTGAATTCTGATATTCCCTTCATGTATTTTTTTTTTTTTTTTTTTTGCACTTTAGGGTGTCATTGACTACATCTTCTATTCCAAGACACACATGGACGTTCTTGGCGTCCTGGGGCCTTTAGATCCTCAGTGGATGACGGAGAACAACATCACTGGCTGCCCTCACCCCCATATTCCTTCTGACCACTTCTCACTGTTAACGCAGCTGGAACTCCACCCTCCACTTCTGCCTCTTATTAATGGAGTACATTTGCCAAGCAGGAGGTAGTGCTGGCTGACAGCTGGGCACTTGTTCTCATGGACCTGTATACCTGTAAAAGAATCTGTAGGAGTGAAGTATGGCCAACCTTAAGCTGCTTTCTCACGGCTCCTTCCCTCCTGTCAAAGCCGTGGCTCTGCATTTTAATGCAGGGGGGCAATATTTGGAATTAGGGCTGGTACAAAAGCTGTCCTCCTCCCAGCTGTGTATTTTGTTCATTTTTAAAAAAAGCTTAACTTTTTTTTTTTTTTTCCCCCCCATATTTTCATTCTGTTTTTTGTCTTGTACATGATCAAGATACTGTTAGCAACTTCACGACTGCTAGATACAAGACATGGTTTCACTCTTCCTTTTTTTTTTTTTTTCCCCCCATGTAATTAGTTTCTCTCTTCTGATTACTTAGCAGTAGTCATAACTCCATTTTCCACTGGTATCCTAAGAAAAAATTGGTTATGTTTAGACTGTGAAAAACTGACATGATTCACCCAGTTAACAAAGGTTATATTGGCTTTTCTTCATCCAATCAAGCACAATCTGACTAATATGTTTGTGGTTCTCTTGCACCTCTGCATCATTGTGTATAGTGGGTGCAAGAGGTAGTTGGGAGCATGTAAATGGTGTGTGATAACCGCTGGCTGTGAAGAGAACCTCATTTTTTTCAAGCAGCAATTATTTATTTTTATTTCCTTGCTTTCACCAATGAAACATTGCTTTTAGTACAAGCATCCTTGCTTATTAGACATGCATTAAATGCAGCATTTTTTTGGGGGGGGGGGGGGGATTTTTGGATTTAGGCCAAAGGAATGTTTGATGTAATAGATTTATAACCAAAGATGTCACTTATATCTGCAGTCCTTGCCATGACACTTTTTTTTTTTTTTTTTTTGCTCCATCCATGTATCAATTAGCTTGAACAACCTTCAGCATTCTCTTCAGAGCCAGATGGCATCACAGTTTGAGGAGTTGAATGTCAGACCACCAAATTTTGAGCATTGTTGTGTTACCAAACATAAATGGTGAGCACAGTCATGACAACACACGGGTAATACAGGCACACTTGTATATACAGATCTTATTTCCCATGTTTACTACTCTCACCTAAGACATAAGCACTGGTAGTTTACATTTTTTTATACGCTGGGATGTTGCTTTATCTAAATAGGCAGTTCATCAATGTTCTCCATTGCAAAGATTCTAGGCACATTGAAAACAATATGACATTTTGTTTTTAGATCTTACCTTCCCCATTTAGTTTCAGCAGTCTCTATTCAATTTATATTTTGTAGTGAGTGAGGTCTTCAAAAATGTATGGACACCTGGCCATGAAGGGGTTAAACATTCTTGCAAGTTGTCTTAGATGAATAGCATTGCACTAGTTGGAAGGCCTCTAGCTGCAAACATTTTTGTCCTGCTTTTTGCTGCTATGTTTTTAAAACTGATTTTAATCAAAATTTTCAATGCACTTTATTGTTCTGTGTACCATAACGTGATCACTTCCCAGAAGTCATGTTTTTTTTGTTCTTTTTTTCTTTTGAATGAATGTTTTAATAAAAAGGTCCATTTGGAATTGGCTCTATAAGAGGAGTGCACACCAGATTCACCAGTTCAGCCATTAATGGTAGCTTCCACCTGCTTGTGGACCATCCTACATACAGCTTATACAGAACCGTTTAGCATTGTCTTATAAATGACATGTCTTGACCACCACCTCTCCGAAGTGCCTCTGTGAATATTTTTCGAGATCCGTGAATGCAGATATTTTTCATATGTGCATTTTTATTTTTTTTTGGGTGCACATGGTTTCCCAGTCTTTGAAATTTAAGATTTGAAGAATTGCTGCTTTGGCATGCTTTGGAAAACCTTTATGGAATAGATATTTAAACATTTGTAGACCAGCAACCAGAAGCTGTAGTTTGAGAGCCTGCCTTCCATCTGTGCACCTGTGAATTTCCCAGTCTTTGCATTGGCTGTGTAGTGAATTTAGTCCATTTGTTTGTTGGGATAGATTTATGGTCAGTATTAAGTCAACTGTGATACTGATGTATATCACTGGTACCTTGGATTTCAACTTGTGTGCACTGTATTACAGTAAGTAGGTTTACTCTGTCATAGCTTGTCATGTGTGCCTTTGTTTCCTGTAGCTTTGGTAATGTCATCTGTCAGAAAAGGTTGTCCTGTTTTTTTTTATCCAGCTTGTCCAAAACTGTTTGACAAGAGCCTTTTCCTCAAATGCTCAAATGAAAACTAAATATTCTAAAAAAGTATTCTATAATCCCTATTATTTCTATTGTCAAACAGATCCAAGGCATAGGCAGGGTTTCACCATCAGAACAGTTTCTTATTATGGTGAAAGCTGTTGTTGACACGGACTCTCAGCTTCATGCATCTTGAGCACATTTTAAAGCATTTAAGCTGCATCCATTAAATCACAGCCTGTAGATAAATGCTGTTGTGAAAACCAAGTTATTTGTCTTGGGCCTAATTTTTATAAAGTTGCATGAGGGTGTTTTTCTCAGTCTGTGTTCCATAGCAACCATTCAGGTTCTCCCTTCGTGTGAAGAGAGAATTGGTTTGGTTTCGGCAGGGTGACACTGAAGAGTAAGAACCGTTTCATGCACTTTAAACCTTGTGCTTGATATCTAATGTACACACTGCACTCAGAATTTACCAAGAGCAGTCGTATCCAAAAGATGTGTCGGAATGATTAAGGGTACAAACCCAAAGGCTCAATGTAACATCTTAGAGGTTGTGAGGTAAAAACTGTTTAAGACTGTCTGCATTTACTATTTCTCAGGTACTGTACATACTATTTTCAAAGTGTATATAGAAAATGACCGGACAAAAGATTACGGTCTTGGTAGTCTGCTCCGTGTGGTGTTTTTTTTTTTTTTTTTTTTTTTTTTTTGAGAAAAGTTTTGTGTATTGTAGCACAAAAAAATCTGTGTACATCTGGAGGCCTGGCATGTTGTATTAACATTCACATCTGGAGAAGAGGACCCTTCTGTAAAAAAGAAAAAAAAAAAAATACCCATATTGAAAAGTTTTGTTGCATGTGCATCATTAACTTCACTTAAATGGGCATCATCGAGCTAAATGTTACACTGCATTGATATTGTCTTATAGCAATATAAATTCACTCTTCAAACAAGCCACCATTTTGTGGATTCCATTTGGACTAGGTAACAGACTGTGTACTTGGATTATATAGATAAGACATCACAAAGTCCTTGTAATGCCACCGTGACATATTGTGACCTGTGGTTTTCTATTGAAACAACATTATAGGCATAACCACAGTGTATTTAGTAGGCTGTGCCCATTACCATTAATATTGCAGTGGTACATTGATAGCAGAATAAAAATGATCAGTTTTTTGTACATTGGCAATCTATATTTTTTTTTCTATGTCCAGGATTTTAAAGTTTATACATTTAGAGGTAATAAAACATATTGTGAGCTATTTTATAAAGACGTTCTGTGATTTTTAACTGATCGAAGCTGCTTTATGTTACACAAATAAAAATTTAGATTTCTTCTGTTTTTAACCCCTTCACCACCAGAGGTCAAGACAGTTTGCAGACCCCTCAAATCAAAAGGATATACTTTTGTTTGCCAAAAGTGGTCTATATTGCGCACCCTTTTTCCTTACTTTCATTGATTTTCATTCATTCAGTCCATACCTATATCTATCCCTGCAAGCAGATTTCATGTATTTTTATTGCTAACATAAACTTGGTGGGACCTGGTAGGAGAAACTGGATCTGAATTCAGAATATCCTATAGTGTGGGTTTTGTCTTGATATCCATTTTTTGGTCCCTCTCAATGGTTGCCCTGTACATCAGACTAGTCATGTGATCTCAATGATTGTAAAGACATTCATAAATAAACCTTTTTTTAATGACTTTAACTGACGTAAATAAATGGAAAATGACATATGCAAAATATTGTGTTCAAAGTCTTCTAACACTTCATATGATCACTTTTAAGGAGTGAATTTGCTTAAGGAAGAACGTTTGCACTGACAGTGTTTAACCCCTTCACGCCGGCGCCTCCCGGCCCTTTAAGGGTTTCAAAAGCCAGGGGGTGGGGTTTAGGGTCATGACCGCAAATGTGCGGTCGCTTGGCGTCTAGGCCCAGACGCCGGGAGGCAGCACATTTGCGTTTGGCCGACGTGAAGAGGTTAATATACGTCGGGATATTTTCCCAAATATCCATTTAAAAGGGTCAGTCTACACAAAACTGATATTTGTTTTGGCAGATACTAGATAAAATACCTGGGAGCTCCTCACATTGAGTTTTTGAGATCCCTGTGCTTAATTTCTTGGATGTGTACACCTGCCATGGCTATTTGGGGGGGGTCGCAATTCTTGCTGCTGGATTTTTTTCATTCTATATTATACTCAATGTGAAGGAAGGTTCTGGAACACAGAAGGATGGGTGCTCCCAGCTGAATAAGAACAGAGTTTGGAATTGGGGCAGGGGGTTCTTGCTGTTGAAATATCCAAGCCCTTGGCCTATCATGATACCTTTTAATTAAAATTTGGCTTTTCAAGGGACTGACCCTTTTTTTTATTTGACTCCTTAAATACTGGTTTCCCTTGGTCAGTGCAAAAGAGTAGTCCTCTAGTAAATTATACTGTGTATTTCTGGTTTGTGTTTTTGTTTTGTTTTTTTCCACTGTTTTACATAACATTCTATGATGCTTTGCTGTGAAGGCACATAATTTGAGTACATCATTGCCTTTTTGTATATTAAAGTAAAACCCCAGTGTTTTTTGTTTTTTTTCTTTTGTTTTTTTTTTTCCCCCCCCAGTGGGAATAAGCAGCATCCCATAATCCAGATATTTTCCATTTTCAGTTTAGCATATTGCTAAGGATGCCCTGGCATCAGGCTGCCTGTAGTAATTTTATTTATTTTTTGCATATTGTGTGGTTTGCAATCTTGCCCTATTGGCTCTAGTTTTTTTTTTTTTTTTTTTTTTTTGTTTTTCAAATATAACTGGAGGTTT